AAGAAAAAGAGAGAAAGAATTACCTTGGACACCCAAGGGCACGTCGTATCAACTATTTGTACTTGTTTGTTACTCAAAGTCAACATCTCGTCTACCGCAGCTCCAAAAGCAGGCAGAATCACAACATCACCCTTATCAACGACATCAAACTGTTTGGATCCATCCTCAATGGGAATATCTTTAACTTCCATCTCTTCAAGTCTCTAACATTACACAAAGCAATCTTTTTACCAACTATGATCTATTAAATAAAACATAGATCATAAAAAATGCTAAGACAAAAAGAATAAACATATAAAAAAAGGAATAAATACTACCATAGAATAAGGCAAGGTGGTGCTTCATCTATAGAGAAATCTCAAGCTTTACAGGATATATACATATGAGGCAAGTAGAAATAATAGACTCTTCACAATTCTAATTCATAACAAGAATAATGCTTCCAGACAGGAGACTCGAGTCTATTTGTTAGAAGGCAACTCAAAACAAGAACAAGACTAAAGTGCTTTGCCAGTCCAATGTGATAACCCCAAGCGATTTGGGTTAATGGAAAATCACTTGGACTTGGTGCCAGTTGAAGTGTGTAAGGTTTGGTTCTCACTAGGTGCATTTACAAGAGACATAGCACTCACCACAAGAAGTATGACATTTTCACATGAAAACCAATAGAAGTGTATTCAGATGACAAAGATACTCAGGAATGAACGGAAAGCATAATCTAATTCAAGCCCTTAAAAAGTCTGTCATGAAGGAAAATCGTCAATAGATTGTAAGCTACAGAGAATTATGAAATTTATCCAAAATAAAATTTTATTAATACCTTATTAACAGTTGGATTGTGAATAATTTCGTTTGTAATCCATATCTTCTCATCAGGGAACTGTTTCCTGGCTTCGTAAGCAATCTGGACTGCACGCTCAACACCCCAGCAAAAACCATAAGCTTCTGCCAGCTTTACAGTAACATTTCCCCATGTAAATACGTAGTTATTCTCCTTTAAAGTCTTTATGATGTCGCCTGTTAATGATAACATAAAACATTAACATACTGAAAAGCCCAATTGATCTCCTCTGAATAAATTTGACTTAAACAAACTACATGTTCAAACATTAAGACATTCAATTTAAGCAAACTAAATATCAATCATTTTAGAGTTTATCTTTATACACAACTACACCTCACAAAATTTACAGGTCATAACACATAGCTTCCGGTAATGAAAGGATTATTTAACATAAATACCTTCTTTTAGTCAACATCGCAATCTTAAAGTTCCAGTGCTAAAAACACCGGTGAACAAAAATTGCAAGTCGTAAAAGAATTAATCCATCACATAAGTGAATTTGAACAAACATCAAGAGTCACATCAGACTGAGACAAAGGATTTAATCAACACAAGAAATTAAATTGCTAATTCTTACTGGTATACTCTAGATTCATTTGCTCAAGAGTCTCCTTCTTATGTCCGAAACCTTTCCGGTTGTAATTCTCGCTTCTGGTCAAGTTATGCCGGAAAACCTTGGCGTCAAAATCGGAACCAACGCCCATGGATGACGAGGACGGTTCTCCAGCGGAGCATCGAAGGGACAGAGGCTTCCGGCACCGGAAAACTCTGAAGTCAGGAAGAGAGCGATCGGAGCGAGTGTAGACACTGGAGAGAGGCGTGAGTTGAAGGGAAGCCATGGAAGGAACTGTGTGTGTGAAAACAGTGTGTGGTATTTAAAGGTGAGAAAATACGCATTGTGATCTCGTGATCCATGTTTTCTTGTATTTTCGTGTATCTCGTTTTTTTTAATTATCTTTTTTGGCGTTTTTTGATAGCGGATTTACACTTGATTTATGCCATTCGCCTGCTTTTATCCCATTCTATACGTATATATTATTTTTTATTTATCTACAAATATATTTAGGGGCATTTGGTTTGTCGGAATCTGATGGAATTGGAATGGTCAATAAAATTGGAATGGTCAATTCTATTGACCAAATTTCATTTCAACTTTTGGTTACCCATTGAATGAATTTGAATTCCAAAGATTCCCATATTTGAGGGATTCACCATTTCTTACTAAATGTGATGGAATTGCTTTCAGATCGGTTTTCTCATCTACGAACCTGTTTTTTCAAACTTGAACTTGATTATTGCTTCGATTTCTCAAACTTTAACCTGTTTACTGCTTTGATTTCTCAAACATGAAGCTGTTTACTGCTTCTATTTCTCATTTACGAACAAGTTTACTGCTTCAGTTTTTTATTTCTCCATGAACCTGTGTGTGAACACTTGTTCGTAACAATATTTATACATGGGTATTTGATGTGTCAACTTGTATGAATGGTTTGGTTTATGGTTGCTTGATTTTTTTTTACACATTTTATGTTTACATATGATTCAATAAATGGTAAACATTTTTGTCCTCATTAAATGTTAATTTTATAGTTATTTTGACCTCGTATGGATAACCTATTTGCATCATGTGCCGATAACACCAGTTTGCATCTGACTATTCCACCCCTCTTAGTCAATAGGGTAGCAGGTTCGGCATCTACTACAAAGAGAGACTTGTGTGCCACGGATCGCATGTGAGGAGTCGAGATATCTTATATGTGTAATTAAAAACATTAAAAAATAACAAATAAAGGGTATTTTTGTTTTTTTTATCATTTCATTCCAATTCTGTTGCAAACCAAACAGGCAGATTCCAATTCATTAGACATTTAAATTTCATTCCTGCCAACCAAACAATTGGTCAAACCTGATAACATTTCATTCAAATTCCTTCCAAATTCCAATTCTTTTGATATATTTCATTCCTTCATGAATCATTTTGCGAACCAAACCCCCCCCCCCCCCTTAGAGAGCTGAGTTTCGATGATAATAAAAGTTACAGAGAGAATGATAAAATGAGATTTTCATCCTTGGATCAATACTAAATGAAGAGAATTATCATATCAACATTAATGATATACTATATCAATTATCTTCTAAAACGTAATTATTGATTGTTTTTTTAGATTAAAAGCATTCAAATTTCTTATTACGTTTCTCACTTTAACTTTGTATGATAATAGGAGTTAAAGTAAGAAGTGTAAGAAGAGATTTGCACCATTGATCACTTTTAATCCGAAAACAACCCTTAATTATGTTTTAAAAGGGAATTGATCTGATGTATTTCATTAGTATTGATCTGGTGATTGATCCAATGGTGAAGATTACTTCTCACCATGACTTTCATCCTCACCGTACCCCAAAACTATAAATAATTATATTAATTCATATATGCTATAATTTTAGATGACATATTATATATATTATATAATAAGTTGAATATATTTATTGTAATAACTATATTAGGGGTTGTTTGTTTACCTCTTAATAGTTTCATTAAAAGGCAACATCTGAATCGTTAAAAGGTGAATCTTGTTTGGCAAAAACAATCTGTCTCTTAATGGTTCTAAAAACCTCTGAATAATTTTGTATCTTGGGTCTCCTTTAACCATTAAGCGCCATAATTTCATTGTAAATAATTACCAAACAATTATATTTCATTTTACATTATATCATGAAAGCCTMTTWATTTATTTATATATATATATATATATATATATATATATAATATTAATAACTATAAAATCAATAAAATATATAAAAGAAGTAATGAATATCACTTTATACAAACTTAATGTTAAGAATCAAGATTCTTCTATAAAAACATCTTCAACAGTTATGTTATTTTAGCAAATCTACCATTAATTATATTATTAAAATATTCGATATATTTAATAAAATATTATTTTTCTCTGTTAAACACTTAGGCCATGTTTGTTTTTACCTAAAAAGCACTTAATACCCTCTTATGTCTGAATCGGTCAGACCTTAGGGTATTAAGTGTGTTTGTTTTTTTTTTTCAATTAAGAGCTTAAAAGCTCTGATTATGTCTGAATTATTTAGAGGTAACATTTTCACTTAAAACCTCTTAATTGCTTTTAGAGCTTCCAATACTTGTAAAGAAAGCCTAGATTTCAATGATTCAGATTTCAGATTTCAGACGTAAAAACAAACAGTCTGACTGATTCAGATTTCAGACTTCAGCACCACCTCTTAAAATTCAGAAATGAATTCAGAATTCAGACTTAAGCACCTCTTAAAAAACAAACGCCACCTTAATTTCAATATCTCATATTGACGAGAAATAATTAAATGTCATTTCTCTCTCTAAAATACGGAATTTTAATAATTCCTCTAAATTTGAAGATTTCTACATTCTCTCTCGTCTTTTCTCTATTTTAGAATTTTTAGCATACAAGAATTCAAAGCGGTGAACTTTTTTTTATAGGAACTCTATAATGATAATTCCTACAATTCACTTCATTTTTTTTTTTTTTATAAGAGCCTTGTATTGTAGATGCTCTTATAACCATTAATCTGTATGTACATATAAGTACTTGAAGATTTTTCCTAGTTCCAATTCACATGTGAATACCGGATAATTATTTACAAACTACTTAGGCCATCTCCAACCATCACCACAAATAAAACATTAAAAATGGTGGATCCAATCAACATTAAAAAAAAAATCAACTCCAACCATATAAAACATCTATAATATTAAATAATAATAGTAATAATAATAATAATAATAACTTAATATCTTAAACTACCAAACAATATAAATACACACACACATAGGGTTGGGTTGGGTTCATGTGAGACCAAGGGTTTTTTGTAAGACCCGTAAGACCAATTTATGTTCATTGATCAACTTTATAAGCTAATGGTTTAAAGTTGCACGGTGGCAATTTTGTGATTATTGAGAAGTCTCGTAACAATTTTGTGATTATGAATGTTCAGATTGTAGATCTAATCCAAAGGTTGATAATTGGTCTTATGGGTCTCACGAAAAACCATTGGTCTCACATCCCAAGTATATATATATATATATATATATATATATATATATATCTATATAGGGGAGCGATCAAATACAAACCACTCAATTTGTACAAACTGTGCAAACCGCATTCAACCACTCATAATTTTTCATTTTGTTCATTTTTTTGTAATTATGAGAGGTTGATTAATCATTTTTATTGTGGAGAGTGTTAATCATAGATATTATCATCTTTATTATTTTAATTTTAGAGAAATACATGAAACAATTTCATTAATGTTAGAGAAATACATGAAACAGTTTCATTAAGTATTATATGAAACAATTTCACAACCATATATGAAACAACTTCATCAAAAAAAGTATCATATGAAACAATTTCACAAGATTAAACAATTTCATGAAAAAATTTCATAAGATTAAACAATGAAATTGATAGATGAATGTGGTTTGCACGGTTTGCACAAATGAGGGCGGTTTTCATATGATCACTCCTCTATATATATATATAGGGTATATTTCTTTTACAATCTTGTGTATTTGTACAACTCTTACAACCCAATGACCTTGTATATATATTCAAGAGAACAAAAGAATGAAACATTGACGAACACACTAATAAGCATTCATCTGAATGACATACACATGTGCAAACAAATTATTAAAGTTGTTTCTTGTTTTTTGTATGCACGTGTGCATGTCATGCACATATGCATACCAGACAAATTGTTTACAAATTACTTGTATGCACATGTGCATACCATCCAGATGAATAGTTATTAAGGTGTTCCTCAATTTTTAATTTTTTTACAGTTTTCCCTGAACTCGATCCTATACGGTTGTATATATTAGTTCAACATTTAAAATTTATATATATTATTTAATATTAAAAATAAAATAAAATGTAAAAATAAAATTTATTATATCATATTATTTAAATAAAAAGAGAATGTCGAAATCTCCAAAATTGAAAAAAAAAATACTAAAGTTTAATATTAAGTATAGAAATATATTATTTTAATTGTTTTCACGAATAAGATTAAATGTGTTACAATCTTTTATATAGCTTTTTAAAAGTATACTGATATGATGATATTATAAAATATTTTAATAATACAATTAATGTTGACATTGCTAAAATAGAGTAGTTGTTGAAATTAGCTGTAATTTTAGAGATTTTGATTTTTTATACTTTATTTTAAAAGAATTATAACACAACTGTTGAAAAACAAAAATAGAAATTTTGAAAAAAAAATTATATTAATTAAGGAAAAAAAAATCTTTATAGATTTAATTTGGAATTAAATTAAATTTTATTGCATTTTATTTATTTTTATTTGAAAAACGGGTTGTAATTATCTGAAGATATCATGTAATGTTTGTTCTCTAGAACATAAATATGGTGATTTTAGTGGTAACCTTTGTGATTACCAAAATATTATCTCGATTTTTCATAAAGAAATATCTTGTTAGGAAATATATATATACTATATTACAAAGCATTTGACAAAAAAAATTAAAAATCATTTTTTATGCATGAAGTATTATTTATTGATGTATATTACTTAAAATTCAAGATTACAATTAAATTGTGTATAAGTACAACTTATTAAAAATTCATGTTTGAATTCATGTAACTAACTGCAGATAAACATAGTCAAATACAAGATAAACATTTCATTTTAAATATAAAAAATCTAAAATATAGTTAGGATAATCATTGAGTTCTAACAGAATACTTAATTATTATTATTATTATTATTATTATTATTATTATTATATAAAATTGTATTATTAAATCAAAAATCTTTAACAAATCTAAATTAAATTATAATAAAAAAATTGAATTGAATAAATTACATAAAAAAAAACTTTTAAATAGTTAATTTGATACTAATATTGATATGTTTATTTTTGAAATTTTATGATATCTTCAAATTTATATTTTGTTCGAAAATAAAAACATTATCTCATCTCAAAACCACATAAAAACTGTATTATAACATCTACATAGATGAAATAAACAAAACATTAAAATCAAGATATATCTTGCTGAATTGCACGAGTATCCTTCTAGTTTATTATAAAATATATGTTAACAATAGAAATGTGTTTACTTTATCTGTATTATTTGCTTATACTTCTATTACAATAATTTTTCAACATGAGGGATTATTTATTTTGCTATAATCATGAAACAAACCCAAAAACCAAAAACCGAGTTCATCTAATATAGAAACATGTGGATTTTTTAAACCCTTGTACAATAACAAGATCTCGTGTAAATAAAAGTATCTTCAATAGATTCTCCAAAATGTTTTCAAACAAAAAATAAAAAATTAATAATTTTAAAAAATTACATTAAATTCTAATAGATTCTTTATTTTTGGGGAATTATAATTTATAATATTAATTATATTATTAAAATATTTAATATATTTAATAAAAAAATATTTTTTTTAACATTTAATCTCAAAGATTCTTATTGTTGTTAATAATAAAAAATTATTTGTCTCCGATAAGCAATCATGGACATTCATATTTTAAACTATTAAGTCCCTAAATATTTTTTGAACCAAAAGGGTCCTTAGATATATAAAATAAAACAAATATACCAAAACAGTACTTATATTTAAAATTTTTTTTTGATAAAATTAATTTTAATTAAAAATAAAATATATTATGTCAGTGTTTTTTCAAACTAAAAAATTTAAAAAGAATTACTGATTAAATTTCTTTTAATTGAAAATAAAATATATCTCGTATGTGATTTTTCAAATTAGAAAAAGATTTAAAAAGTTACTGATAAAATTTATTTTAATTAAAAATAAAATATATTTTTATTTTTAATTAAAATAAATTCCAGTAATCATTTTTAAATCATTTTTTTAATTTGAGAAATCATATATGGAATATATTTTATTTTTAAGTAAAAATAAATATGATTAGTAATCATTTCTAAATCTTTTTTTATTTTTTTAATTTGAAAAATCACTGACATAATATTTTTTATTTTAATTAAAATAAATTTCATTATTAATCTTTGTAAATGTAGATATTTTTTTGGTATATTTGTTTTATTTTATATATGTAAGTATTTTTTGGGTTCAAAAAATGTTTAGAGACTTAATCACTCAAAATATGAAAGTCCAATTGACTTTTTTCATTATTTTATCACATTAATCAGTTTTATAGGTCATAAGGAGTTATTTAACATGTTTTGGAATGTCCAGGGACTTATTTCTTCAACAAAGTAAGAACTTTTTTGTCACATCATTGTCACCTCAACAAAGTAAGAACCTCAATAAAATTCCACAACAAAAGTTCTTACAAAAACCTCAATTTTCATGTTTTTACAAAGTTCTATTACTATTAATGGGTGGCTATGCCAATTTCTTATGGGCAATGGCACCCCAAGTAAATGAGTCTTATGGTTCTTCTTCATTTGCATATGGCCTTTTTTTAGGTGCTAATTTTATTTATAGATTAATTTATAAATTCAATATATATTATAAAATTATTAAAAAAATCAAATATAATTTATTAATTTTCATTTTTCTATGGTAAATTTTAGTTTGTTAATTTATATATATTTTTAACATATTTGAAAAACAATTCAAACGTAAACATAATTTTATACTATAATTAAAAAAGTGTAAGATTACATAAATATTGATCTTTATAAAAAATAACATTAAGGGGCCGTTTACTAAACGCTTACCCTCACCGGATGAACATAGCAAGGGCCAAAAATTTTACCCGATAAGAACGATGATAAGAATGGAGAGTCTTACTCGATAAGTGAGGATGACGACTTTTACCTGGGTAAACGCTTGTCAGGTAAATTGTTGCATGGGATACGTTTTGATCTACTACAATCTTACCCAGTAAAATAAATTATAGTATTGACTCATAACGGTAAGTACTTACCGGATAAACATTTAGGTAAACAGCCCCTAAGTAATAAATAATAATATATAGATCAATCGTAATGTCGATTCGGCCAAATATGTTCAATCAAGTCGTAGAGGAGTTGATAATGAACTTCATTTGAGCGCATCTCAGAGTTTCGTTGAAGATATTCTTGAAATTCATCAGTAGAACCTTGAAATATTTATGTTGGATTATCATCTACCTCTTCAACAAAATAATATAAAAATAAACAAAATTAAGAAAAACTATTTTATAGTAATTGATTTATATTTTTCTGTATCAACTTCGACTTATATGTTTTAAATACGTACTAAAAGAGAATAAAATATTAAGAAATAATAAAAATACTAAATAAAGTAATAACAGAAAAAGAAAGTATACAAGAACCTGGGCTCGTGTTTAAGTACTTGGGTTCTAATAAGAACATGTGACTGGACAAAAAACCTTTGTCCAACAGGGGAGGTTCTTGTATAACGTCCACAAGGAACCTCAACAAAAACCTCCATTATAGATGCTTTTTAAGTTTATTTTTGGCTTATTTCGTGTCATTCTATTGGTCACTCAACAAAATGTCACGAAGTTGTCTTCGTATGCTTGCGTACATCCTTAGTTTTCGAACTAAATTAGCCAAACCACAAGAATGCTAAGAAGATTATTTGGGTAAACGTTTACCAAGTCACATTACCACACCGAATAAATATGGTAAGGACTAAGAATCTTACCGGGTAAGAGCGAGACAAAGACCATGAGTCTTACCCGGTAAGTGAGGCCAACGACTCTTACCACGGCAAGCGCTTACCAGGTGAGTTGTTGCATACAATGTCGTTTTGATGGATTAAAATCTTACCCGGCAAGTAAATAATAATGTTAAATTTTATCGGTAAGCACTTGCCGAGTAAGTGTTTGGTAAACAACCCCATAGTGAACTGCCACTGAGGATCAATTAGAGATCAAAGATGTTCAACAATTCCCCTTGTTTTCATGTATATTTAGTAGCAGTATTACACCATTTTTGTAACAATGTTTAGAAATCTACTTTTTATTCGGTTCCATGTTACAAACCCCAAAATAGAAATTTGAAAAGTTGGTTTCCTAAAATAGAAATAAAACATAAAGCCGAAAGTGTACATCAACAACATTGGGAATGAACAGATGTTAATTAAGTAACCCAAAAGTTGCTAGGTTTTTCTCCTTTATATATATATATATAAAAGTATTATCTGTAAACATAGGAAAAAAGGGTGGTTGCAGATGAATTCACAGAATTGAGTAGATCAGCAACTATACACAGTTGTTTAATAACACTATTCAGTTTCTGTCGATAACATCTGCTGGCAAATTCAGATCAAACATCCCCTCTCCGAACCCATCTTTTCTCGCCCTTTTCTGCTGCGATGAAAACCCGCTTTCTTCTGAACTGCCCGACCCTGACGCCCCATCAGATTCCGACATACCACCTTCAACATAAACCACAAACAAACACATACATGAGAATTTGTGGTCATTGGAGGAAGTTTTACATGACGTTGTATCAGGGTCCATGTCTACCATTATAGGAACTTTGACACTTGGGGGCAATGGTAAACATCTAGCCCTCTCTCGACACTCTTAGGACAATATGTGTCCGTTTAGCCTCCGTTGGAGGGGGAGTGTTGAAAGTTCCACATGGGCTAGACTTTGACCATTTCTTCTAATACATGTTGAAACTTTCCTTCTCTCCTAAAGGGAATTTTTGGAAAGTAATCTAATGGGGTTCCACATATTCTCACATGGTATCAGAGCCAAGGTTTACCAATCTAGGGACTCAACATTTTGAGAAAATCTGTACACATCTAGCCCCCTCTCAACACTTTGGGCACGCCTAGCCTCCGTTAGAGGGAGTATGTTGGAGTCTCATATCTGGACCATATCTTCTCAATATACTCCCTCCATTCCAAAATAATTGTCCACGATGAAAAAGGCACATGATTATTACACTTTTAATTATGTGTGATTGTTAGATTTTTTAATTAACAAAATGACAATTTTACCCTTAATTATAGAGAGAAGTTCCTGTTACTTTACCATTGGTTGGCTCTGCCAGCTTTTGACGTTTATCGGCGTTGCATGATTTTGCAGCCCAACTGACGGTAAGTTCTGTTGCCTTCTCGATCCCTTTCGAGTAGTACGGAGCTATGTTATGGATGCCAAATTGTAGGGAACCCAACAAATCCGTCTCAATGCATTCGTACCTACAAATGTTAACCGACTGACTCAGTTACTCCTACTTAAAAACAAACCTTTTTTTTACTCCGTCCACAATGAAAAAGGCACTAGATTTCTAAATTAGCTAAATGACAAATTTAACCTTAATAATAGAGGAAGTTTGAACTTCTCCCTCTCATAATTAAGGGTAGAAATGGAAAATAGACACTTAATTTGAGATAAACTAGAATAGAAATGTAGACACTTAAGAGACATACTTACATTTTCTTGCATAAGGTGTCGGTGATCACTGAAAGATTGATGACTTGCATCCGTATATCCATGATTCGGTCATCAGGGTACTGATCAAATGGTTCCTCGATAAACTTCGAGAGCTTCTCAACATTCGTTTCAAGCTGCTGTTGCTGATCCTCGAATAAATGCTGTTTTATCTCCAGATCCTCTTTTGTCATCTCATCATTGAACAGCTCGTCACCAAACATATAAAATGCAAATGGGTATGAATAAGAAAGTGACCGCCTTGATCTGAATAGCCGATAAAGTCCATTTGTAACCCAGCTAAAATCTCGTAACTGTGAATCTTTGCTTTCCAAAACTGCTACCTTATCCCGTATGGTCTCCTTCAATCTAGATTCCTGCTTAAACGAATCTGTATGAGCTTTATAACGATTGTGATAATGCATATACCGATAGAGGTCCCGCTTTGCACGCTCGGATTTCTTCTCACGGTCTTCCTTGTACCGACCACAACTATGACCAGTGATATTTGACCACGTATGATCCCGACCAGTCGCACCGCCACATAGCCAACTAGTTCACATGTAATTTTAGCAAGAAAACTGAGAATTGAAAAACAGCTGGCCAAAATGCTACACTTTTAATTTGGCTAATTAAAGCATGCCATTAAGCAGATTAGAGCATCCTTCTCTATAATTTCTACAAAATGGAGAAGCAAAAGTTAAAATCTCCAAAACAAATTACATTCAACTCCAACAGATTCACCAAATTTTGTTGATTTTAACATTACTTGTACCAAATATCACAACAAATTTTGAGATAAATTTATATATGAAGTATGATACATTCAACCTTATTGGTGGAAACGATGAAAAACATCTCTCTCTTCAGCATTTAACTTTGGAGAGTTCTCCAAATTTGGAGATTTTTATACTCTCATGGATCAAAAATATAGAGTAAAATCTCCATTTCTCTACAATTGCCTATAATCACGTTTAAATGGGAAACCAATCATTTAATGGCTAATTAATGCATACCATTAAGCAGATTGTGATTGCCTACAATATTTACTACTGAATAATGATCATTTAGGTATGGAAGCACTTAAATAAATTGAGCGAAAACAAAATAGTGATCTTACCAAAAGGCTTGTCCACATATGCAGCTCACTAGATTGCAGCCACCATTTTTCTCAACAGGTTTGTGACACTTGGGACAAGGTTTCGTATGGACCGTAATCCAATTGACTGTTTCTGATTCATCTCGACATTTCTTAGTCCAAAGTGCCCACATTGCACAAGAACAAGGGGAATGAGCTTCGCATAAGCAACTGAAACAGAATTGATTACCACACGAACACTCTACTTCACAAAACTCATCTTCCTCAACACGGATTGCATTCCCACAATGAGGAGTACTTGGACACCACTTTACCATTTTATTGTCCTCGATATATGACTCGAGAAGAAAACGATCAAATTTCTCAGCCAAATCAGGATGCCTTTTACTAACTAGATTCCTGATTATGGCCTCATCACATATTGCGAAACATTTGTGCGCCATGCATCGGATGCGTCTACTCTGTCCCTCATTTATTTTTACAACAAAATGTTCCGTCCAACCTACAAACGAAAATGGTATGAGCCCCTCATTTCTAACAATACAACAAAAGCAATTATGCCATCTGTAAAGCATATGTAATCCATTAAAACTAAAAATTCCATGATGGTTAAAGTTCCATTCAATTAAGGTGAGTTTGGTACGCAGACAGGACTAGGCAGAACTGGACAGGACTGGGCAGATGAGTGAGGTAGGCGGGTGAATGAATTCTGGAAGGTTGTAACTTTTAATATGACATGGATAGTTTGATAATTCACCAATCTTGTCACATCTCCCTGATTTTTGATCCACCTACTTGGGTCGTACAGAAAAAATGTATTTTTGTCCCACTCGGGTCTTGTCTTGTCTTGTCCCAATCTAATGTCATGCCAAACATGAGACAACAAGTTCTTATACCATCATGTCCTGCATACCAAATGCACCCTTAAGGATCTCTTACAGTTGTTACAGAAGCAGTGACCACAGTCCATTTTTGTCTTCTCGCTAGATGGCAAGTCCTCCATGCATATATCACACATCATTGTAGAAGTAGACACTGATGAGTCCGGAACATGAGACTCGAGCATAGGCAAACCTGCCTCTGTAAACAAGCGAATTTTCCCCTTCTCTACAAGTACTGCAAATATCTTCTCAACATCCCAACGATAATGTATAAGTAGTGTCCGTGCATGGTGTTCCCTTAGAGACAGTAATTCCATAACTCTGCGTAAGTCTTCCCTCTAAGCAAATAATAACTGATAACATCAGTACTCAACAAGCAGATAGGGTGCAAAATTCATATTAAAGACAGATGGTTGGCTAAATAAGAGTAGACGTTTAACTATATACCTGTGCAGCCAAAAGAGATTCTTTTGTGATGACCTGCAAAAGACACAACACGTATTCAAAAGGCGGAGCAGTAATAACGATATCAGCTCAAAGCCAGAATCAATAAACAGCACATAATTGCACAAAAAGCACATAAAAGAGTAAAATGCAACGATGCAAAATTGATTCCAAAAATGCCACACCATTTGGCTTATGAAGCTCATGTTATCCTATAAATTACTTCAGCTCAACGTTTATCACCAACTCATGGAAGAAAGGGCACGCACATAGTTCTGCAAAGAAGAGGATCTAGACTATCACCTCCTCATAAAAGATATTAATGAATACTAACGAAATTTTCTCCTCAATGTGACTATATCCATATCTAGAAAGGGACATTCGTAACAATATGCCCTAAGTTTAATGTCACTGGAACTACCTGGAGAAAACCTGACGGGGGTAAATATTTAAGTGAAAAGGCATATTCAAGCTTCAACCATGTCCCCTTAGTAAGCCACCATCTTATTTAAGAAAACAGCTGGTTGTGTTCTCACTCAAACAATATATTGTCCATTTTCTCGTTCCAATCAAGATCAAACTGCAGGTACACGAACAGGCCCACAAAAACGCTTGACCTGTCTCCGTACATTTCACCAGTTACGACCCATAAAGTAAACTGATAAAAAAAATCAATCTTTACCATTCAACTTTTTATTAACTTCTCATATCCATGAAAGGCCATTTAAAAACTCAATATTTACCATCCAACTCTTTGAAGTACTTCTCAAGCTATTGTGCCCAGAGGCCCTAGGCCAGAATCATATCAGATTGATGAGAGCCTGTCCAAAAGCTTATTAGGTTAAAACTTGCCCAGGATGAGTTTAGTTGCCCAAAAAACAGGTTTTACAGAACTTATGAATCCCTGATGAAGGGCAAAGAGAGAGCTAGAGAGCTATTTGGGCTTTGATTTCTTCTCAAGCCTGCAACAGTGTAATTGCAGCTTCTTTTTCCTTGAGTTCACGGCTTCAATTCTCATCTATGAGTTATCTTTGGTGAGACTCCTGCATCTTCACTGAATCTTCACTCTTCTGTCAGTCGGTAGGCTTGTCTGGTTAGTAATACAACTATACAAGTACTTTGTTCTTCATCTATCCTTCTTCTCTTCTCTGAATCTCAGTTCTTCTCTCTGCTGGTAGTGACAATAGTTTGGTATCTTCTTTACATTCAACTTATTTGCTCTTACCTTATGCCATTAACGTTCCTTTTACTGTTTTTTATAACCATGGGTGTCCAGGACAGCTTTCCGAATCTCGACCAATCTCTTAGGGCCCTGAAGTTAACCGTCAGATAAACCTGTGACCTGTAGGACTCTTACTTTCTCTTCCCTCTGCTCTCCCCTTCTCATTATTTGTCTACATGCAAGTTACCCCTTAAGATGATACTGGAGACGTATTATCCAGCCTTCACTATTTTACCAAAATAAAAACAAGTTGACCTTTTCTCATTATTTGTCTACATGCAAGTTACCCCTTAAGAGATACTGGAGACATATCATCCAGCCTTCACTATTTTACCAAAATAAAAACAAGTTGACCTTTTCCAGTCAAGCGGATTATCCATTTACAATATTGACACCTGTATCCTTTATACCATCATCATTTCTAGTAGACATTACATCCTCATGTCTCATTTCGGCGTAGCCAAGGGAAGTAATTGGACAAATAATGAAACAAGTAAAAGAGAGTGCTAGAGCAAAGGTCGATTTAGACACCAATCCAGGAAAAGGGGAGAGCAGAGAGAAGATAAAGTAAGAGCCCTACAGGGCCACTGGAGGTTTATCTGACTGTTAACTTCTGGACCCTAGGGGCTATGCTGTTAATTATGGCGCTGTAGCGGTGAAATAGTGGTGCTGTGGCAGTTAGAGGTCCTAGGGGAAATAACTGTAAGCAATAGCGATCAGAAATAGCGGTTCCGCTAATAGCGGTGCTAATCACCACAATTGGCCTGCAATTTTGATTTGCAATAGCGGTGTGAAAACCACAACTAGGAGTTGGGCATACAGTTGGCCTTTAAAGGGTTTTGCGAAGTCGGTTAGGGAATTACAAGCTAGGGGGCTGATTTTGATTTGCAATATTGGTTTTTTAAACTCGATAATCCTCTCTCATCTCTTCTATTCCAGTCTACTATTCTGCATCTTCTCTTCACAGCAACGTTGTCTTCCAACATGGATTGCTCGTCATCTCTTCTATTCACATGTTCTTCTGTTCATCTTCAAATTATATATTATGTTATGTATACATTTATATATAATTATTACATGAACCGCTATTTGTAGACCGCTATACCACCGCTTTGCCATAACAATAACCGTTATATCAAATCATGGTCATGACCGTCATTTTAGATTTTGACTGTTGTAACAGCATAGCATGTCAAATAATACCATAAGAGGGATGAGGCCACTAAAAAGGGAGTAGGGAGCATATATCTCAAAAAAGGCAAGCAATGGAACAATGAGACTTGGTACATCCTAACGAAATTTAAACAAAAATACATTAAGAAGCATTTGAGGATGATGTTAATTTGACAGGTAAGTTTAACAAAAGAAGAGTGGAATTCAATCTGGCAAGAGGGCAAATAAGAAAGATTCTGTCTTTTTCCCTAGAAATCCAAAATTGAATGCTAAAAACATGATGTGCCAACAGGACAGATTGCGTTGAGAGATAAAGGTTGTAATTGGATAGCTTGACAATATGCGTCTATATGATATTATGATGCCAGTGCATTTATATCTGCAAATTATGTTAGCTTTGGGGAAATGATCAAAGTGATTGGACAATATGATACAGGACAAGAAATCTAAAAAATATGTTTTTCACAAAAAATAACTGATATAGAACAAGGAATTCCAAGCTTCACACCTAAAATGCCTAGTAATCATTAAGCATTACCCCCAAGACAACATAAGTTATAACACCTAAGGTTGATTGTCTCAAAGAGAAAGCTCTCAGTCCTTTAAAATATCCAGAACACTCGCCCATTTAGCCATTAATCTTAGGAACATCTTTTTATACATAGAAAAGGTAACCTAAGGGGACTTGGGTAACTAGACAAATAAAACAAGGTTAATATACCCTTAATTACTAAAAGAAGTATGTAACTTGACTTAACAAATCTAAATTCCCAATTGCTACAAACAAAATCCAAAATTCATGTCCAATTGAAAATAATGTAGAACCTGATTAAGACACTCCATCCTAGTCTTGTGTTCATCATCGTTACAATTTGAAAACCAACAGAAATCAGTGGAGCATCAATATGAGGAGTTGAAAGTGTCAGGTTGACCAGTTATAGACGAGTCTGCCTACTGCCTAGGGGTGAAAGGGTAATAGGTAAAAGACTAGTATGCCTTAATGGAAGTATGTCCACTGAAGACATTGATGCAAAATGTGTGAAGACAAAGAAAAACTGTTTTAATTGCTGAGAAAAAAATTAAATACGGTTAGCTCTAATCTCTCGAGCAATAAAAAGGAAAAGTAAGTGGGTTTCATAAAATGACTACTCACTGACAGAATGATTATTGTCTCTAAACAATAAGATAGACAAAAAGGACTACATGGATCTTAGTGTCTTCTCAAGCTAGAAGTAACGAAATCACCCCAGAATACTTTCAAAATTAGTGCCGTCCAATACTCTTGGCTTCTAAAATTCAAAGTGAAGCTCAAGAAAACACATCAGAAAGCTCATATTAAGCTATATCTCATAAGTTTCTGGTCGTATAGACACAACAAATTTAGTGAGGGGAGGAGCAGAATGGAGTAAAGGGACAAGATTTGATTACTTTGTAGGAGGAAAGTACAACCCTGTCAATGACCAAGGTGGAATGGGTCTAATTTTCTCCTAGATGCACACACACACACACATACATATATATATAGGGGATCAATGGACTAAAGGAAACAAACGTCCCACTGTGTGATCAAACAACCTGTAAGCAGAAATTGAAAAACTTCTACAACTAAGTGTACTATTTCAATTTTAGATAGTAAGATCAATTTTTGAAACACAATTGCGATGAACAAACAAATACAATTTCAGATAGAAATTTCTTCATCCAACCACAAAAAAGAAACCCTAAAATAAGCACATAAATAGGTGAAAGGAAAACCCCAACCCGGCCACACTTCTAAGTTGAAACTTGAAAGTAAGCATCAGGCTGCAAAGCTACACAACATAACAATCTTAACCATTTAACTCGAGTAATGTGAACAATTCGATCTTGGAAACACGCCCTCACTTGAAATACACAAGAGATATACATCAACGATAAATAACACCGAAAGGAATAACACGATTTCCACCATAATTCAACAGCACCGCAACGACGCTGATTGAATAGTCAATTGGAGCTTAATCAAAACCGTAGACACGACAAAACCCTAATGTATCTTCGTGATAAACAAAACACATACATAGAAACTCAAAAAAAATAAAAAATGAATACCTTGGATGAGGAACCTTTAGGGGGAGCCCACTGAGAATCAGAGTCTTCATTCTCGAGGGCATCATCGAGCGAGTCACGATCTGAGCAATAGTAATCTTCGCCGCCGCTGCTCATGCAATCCTCTACTTCCATCGCACTTCAAGAAACGGCGCGGGTGTAAGCGTGCAAAATTCGATCGATAAACCCTTGTAATGAAGAATTGATGAGTCAATTATTAGGGTTTGATGATTTAGGAGGATGTTAAACGGTACGATCAAGTTCGAAACCGGTGAGCATGCCGGCGAAAAAGGGAGATAGAGGCTGAGACAGGCGGAACCGGAAGAAAAAAGGGGGGGTTTACTTGAGATAATGAGGCAAAAAGCTTCAGAGGCACGATTGAAATAGTATATCAAGATTCAGGAGTGGTACAATTCCAAATCATTCCACTCCGTTGGAATCACAAAATAGAAAATTGATCAAACTTCAATTTTGGTGCTCATATTTGAAACCAGTATTAATTATGTTTTTCTACAAAAATCCTTCTTATTTTATTATAAGTTAAAATGATTTAACTTTTTCAAAAAAAAATTATTATCAATTTGATACTGGTATAAGTTGTTTATTTGAACACTCAAAAGTGTTTATTACCGATGTCACATGGAATAAGTCAATAAGTTGTTTTTATAAACAATCTCAAACACCCCCTTAAGTTTCAACTGATTTCGTCTATAAAAATTTTAAAACTTGGATTTGGGTTTTTATATTTATTAATTTTTCAACGATTTTGATCTTTTTATCTACTGGTTGTTAACTTTTTCTGTTAAATCCAGTTAAATGAGGGGTATTTTGTTATTTTCACTATTTATTTAATTTTATATTAGAATATAAAAACACACTGTAGTTTTAATTTTTCACTGTAAAAACACAAAAAAAGATAACCGTCACTTTTTCGTTTTTTTTTTACAATTTAAAATTAAAAATATAATATGTTTTTTTATGTTAATACAATTAAAATAGTGAAAATGACTAAAATATCTCTTATTTAGTTAGATTTAATGGAGAAGGTTGACATTCGTCATATAAAAGGACCAAAACCGTTGTGGATTGACAAACGTGGGAAACCAAATCCGAGTTTTTAAAATTTACAGACAATATCATTGAAATTTGCAAACATTAGGGACCAAAATTGAACTTTACTAAAAGAACCAATATCTTTTTAACAAAGTGAATTATATTCATACCTCTTTAACGGGCTATATGATAGTTGTTGAATGGTTTTGTACAAAATGATTAAGAGACTCTTATAAGATATGCAAAATGAAATATAATTGTTTGGTAATTATTCAGAATGAAATTAGGATGCTGAATGGTTAAGTAAGGCCCAAGATACAAAATCATTCAGATGATTTTATAACCATTAAGAGACATATTCTTTTTGCCCAAACAAGATTCATCGCTTATCGATACAGAGGTTGTCTCTTAATGAAACTATTAAAAAGTAAACAAACAACCTCCAACATAACTATAGAGGTACGTAAGTGAGATAATGGTGGTAAGAACTATGTGCATGGAAGTGAGGGCATGAATAACAACCTCTTTACAAAAAAAAAGTATTTTAACACAGACTATAAATGCAAAATAATAATATTTTAAAAACTGAAAGGTTTTATTTGTACTGATAATTTTGTCTGATAAGTATTTTTAATAACAAAAATTTAAATATTTTATAATATAGTATATAAATTAATTAATTTTAATAATATGAAAACAGTGTCGTATGCAACAATTTACTCGGTAAGCTAATTGGGTAAGAGTTGTCGTCCTCACTTACCGAGTAAGACTCATTGTCCCTGTTGCTCTTACGGAGTAAGATTATTTGTTATTGTCATGTTCATCCGATAAGGTAATGTGACTTGGTAAGTGCTTACTGGATAAGCTTGGGAAATCGGGGTCCCATGCCACTGAAACTAACAAATTAAAAAGGTCTAAGAAGTGAATGAAAAAAGTGTCTTGATGGCACCATTGTCACACTATAGCAACATTTCACCTTAAACACTCGTATGGGGTTAGTGGAATGTGGCAGACGCGTCTTGTCGTTATGGCATACGTCGTAGAACACAGCTTCTAACATTCAACGACAATCAATATTTAAAAAAAAAAATACGAGTTTTGACTCTTCTATGATCATGATATTAAATTTGACTCACACCAATATCCAAACAATGTTTTACTTTTATTATAACGATCCAAAAAACATCTCTAAAAGGGCGTTTTTGGTTTGCAGGATTCTGATGGAATTCGAAAGAATTGGAATGATCAATTTCTATTGACCAAATTCAGTTCAGGCTCTTGGTTGACCTATAGACTGGAATTGAATCTCATTCACGGATTTGGTCACTCCATCACAATTGAGAAGGAATTCAATGTCATTCTATTTTCTCAAAAGACAAAATTATCCTCATCTCCCCTACTTGATCTGAACCACCGCCGACCCACCACCGCGCTTACAACCGCCGCCGCTGACCACAACCGTGTTGAGATACAAGAGTCATATACTCAGCGGAAATTAACCATATCCTTCCAAGAATCCATATGAAAACGGGATAGGATGGGTGTTTCAAAATTTTACCAGTACGAGCAACAACCTTTTGATGTTGTATGTGAATCTATGCAAGAAATTCAGCCTGTTTCCTCCACGATATCCAGACAAACGCCCCAAATCCAGTCGACATCCTACGTCGAATGAGGAGATCGTCTTTTTTCCCAAATGCTAGATACGGTCTCCAACTTCTTGGAGGAAAGGAATAACAACTTGCAAGGGATGTAGAGAAAAAGAGGATCCTATGAACGTTTCGACAGAAAGAGTGGCCCAATCCTTTTAGAAGATCCCAAATCTTCTAAAGATATTGCTTTTCCTTACACACCATCATGTTGACAAGTCTCGATTTGTCAATCATGTCCCTCAAAGAATCTGATTTCATAAAAACGTATGAAACAAGACTCTAATAAGACAAAATAATTAAGCTCTTTTAATTATTTATTCTCCTTATTCAGATATACATTTATGCGTGTGACCCATTGAGACTTTATCACGTTGCTAATAACTGTAAAATCCTATTTACAGTTATCAATGAAGAGCGACATCTAGCAATACATCATCATTACCCAAATGATAAAAAAGTTTGATGGTTCAGCTAACCAACAAACTGTGTGATCATTATCAGTGTACAAACTTATGTCCCTTTGTTCAGATATCCGGATCGAACACGAGGCATATATGTGTCATCCTCGTTATGTATGATTCTTAGTTTCTCGATTCCGGATAATACTGATGAGACAAATATCGGTATCATGTAACTGATTATCAATATCCTATACTGATCATCTGAACATGCATGCACTTTTTAAATACTATTTAATCGAGGGCTGAGGGATATCACTCTCGTCATATAAGACAAACAAATTTTATCTTGATCCATGTTGGTACTACTAAGTGATACGTGATATATCCAACAACCATTCTGTCACCCAGTTACATAATGATTAGAATCAATTATTAAAGTACACCATTCACACAAAGCATGATCTCAAGTCAAAGGACTAACTGTACAATGACCGCATAAGAAACGTCTATGACACTCATGTAACATCCAATGAAACGTTCTCATAGTGAGTCACGTCCGGTACACAATATCCTATCTTGTACCCATATGTGGATTATATATCTATATATGAATTCCTTCATATACTAGTTGTATCGTATTAATTCAGCCTAAACCTAAATTAACAATTGACTAGGGAAATTTTAGAATACAATATTCTAAGGTTATTATTACATTTAGGTATAACCCAGGATAATACATAAACATAATAATTGGATAATGTCTTTTATTAATTAATAAGATGACACAATATCCAAACATAATCATCCAATGATTGGATTTTGGGCATACACAGTAACAAGTCAACCATCGTCGACCACTACTATTCTGAACCACCACTGATCTGAACTAGTGTCGACCACTGGTGTGAACTACCGCCGACCACCACCTATCTGAAACACCTTTGACACCACCGCCAACCACCAACGATCTAAACCACATTAATTAGATTTTGGTTTCAAAGTTTTCGAAAAAGAGTATTTTGGTCATTTACCAATATTTCATTTCAATTCCAAAGCTACATTATGTAAACCAAACAGATAGATTCCAAGTCCATTCACGAATTTCATTCCAATGTTTGTGAACCAAACAGGTGGTCACATCTGATAACGTTTCATTCCAATTTCTTCAAAGTCAAATTCTTTCAACAAATTATATTTTATCCAAAAACATTATGCGAACCAAACACCCCCTAATATTTTTATGAAAAATAGATACAACACTAACTTTTGATGATAAAATACAAGATTATCTATTTAAGTCTTAACTTTAAGTAAGTGATAATATAATTTAGAGTTACATCAAATATTTTATGACTAAACTATAAATTTGGTTCATGTAGTTTATCGAAAATAACAATTTTTCGTTCTTACAGTTTCGAAACTATAAGATAATCACCATGTTTCCAAAAACATCTGGATTTGGTCTCTCCCTCCAACGGCTGTTAAAAAATTTCTATTAAACGGGAGACATTTTCGTCATCTTATCGATTTCTTTCGTCTTTTACCAAATCAAAATCAATGTTATGATTTCGGTCCCTATGGTTTTTTATTAGATCAAATGATAAAAGAACGAAATTGTCCCTCGGTTAACGATTTTTTTAACATCATTACAGGAAAAGACCAAATCCGAACGTTTTTATAATCTACAATAGTTATCTTATAATTTTATAACTATAAGGAAAAAAAATGTTATTTTCAACAAACTACAAGGACTAAATTTGTAGTTTACTCTTATTTTAAAAAGAGGCCTCCAAAGACATCAAGACTTGTCGTTGTCTTGCTTTGGAAGCGAATCCTTGATTCCCTCAAAATTCGTGACATCCCAAAATTCCAAATTCTCGAAGCATATTCGTATTACATATTAAACTCAATTATGGATTTATATAAGATATATCTTTATTTTAATATTTTGTTTTATTTTTAGTCTCTGTTGATATAAAATAGTTATATGGTTTTGAAAAAAATAATGTTTTTATTTTTGAATAATTTTTTTTAAAGATATCATAAAAATTTGAAAAAATATATCGATATTAAAATCAAATTAACTATTTAAAAGTTCTCTTTTTTTAACAATTTTTTAAATTATTTAATTTAAGTATAATAGCGAAATAATTTATTTTTGGCGTAACAATATAATTTTTATAAAGATAATGATTATGTTATAACTCAATGATTATCCGGATTATATTTTAGATTTTTTATATTTAAAATGAGATGTTTATCATATATTTGATTATATTTATCTGCATTTAGTTATATGAATTCAAAAATTGAGCTTTAATAAGTTGTACTTACGCACAAAGCCTTAAATTTTAAGTATATGCATTAATAAACAGTACTCCATGCATAAAAAAATAATTTTTAAGAGTTTTTATCAAATACTTTATAATATAGTATATATATATAATTTATATTATATTATATCCTTTTGTGTATAACTGGACGCCTTCCTCTCTATCTTATATTTGATTAACATATTATATTTGATTTTAATCAACTTTCATATTTTATAACTAAACTCTTGCCACCACACACTATTGAAAATTAAATGGTAAATTGCATGAAAAAGTAATGTATATTATGAGTAACGTACTTTTAAAATTTCCATTTTGGTAGCTAAGATGTAAAGTTTTTAAACATTTAAGTACTCGGGTAACCTGCTGAAACATTAACTGGTTATCATGCTGATGTGGTGAGTGATACGATGAAATTGGTTGAATAACAATTTAATACTGAGTTGGATACCATATCACTCGCCACATCAACATGGTGACTGGTTAATGCTTCAATCGGTTAACCGGATACTTAAATGTTTAAAACTTTACATTTTAGGTACCGAAATAAAAGTTTTGAAAATACATTATCTAAAATAGAAATCAAGTTAAAATACGTTAATTTCCCATGCGATTGTGTTTTACTATTTCCTGGATTTTAGTGTTAAAGGTTTATGAAAACTTAAATGTTTATATAGAGGGGTATAAACAAAATTGCTTTGTTTAAATATGTGCTTTTTTAAACAAAAAATCATACCTAAATTTAGAGCATTTTCAATATGTTTTTTAAAATAAAGAAAACAGTATTTTTTTTACAGATTTTTCCTTCAACAGATTCTTTAATTTTTTAAAATTGAAAAAAACATAAAATAGTGTGAAAATTTCTAAATTTGGAGAACTACCAAAAATTATTACCGTAAGAGAGAAACAACTTTTTTTATATTTCCGCCAATAAAACATCCCCACATATTTTCCGAAATGCATAATCAAAAGTCAAAATCTCTAAAAAATTTATGTTCATCTTCTGCATTTTAGAGATTACAATATTAATTATATCTATACTATATTATAAAGCATTTGACAAAAACTCTTAAAAACCATTTTTATGCATGAAGTACTGTATATTGATGCATATTACTTAAAATTCAAAATTACAAGTAAATTATGTATAAGTATAACTTATTAAAATTTCATGTTTGAATTCGTGTAACTAACTGTGGATAAACATAATCAAATAGAGGATAAACATCTTATTTTAAAATATAAAAAATTTAAAATATAATTAGAATAATTATCGAGTTATAACAAAATAACTAATTATTATCTTTATAAGGAAATTATATTATTAAACCAAATATAAATTACTTCGTTATTAACCCTAAATTAAATTAATAAAAAAATTGAATTAAAAAACTACACAAAAAATAGGAATTTTAAATAGTTAAATTGATACCAATATCGTTATATTTTTGTCAAAATTTTATTATATCTTCAAATTTATATTTTATTCAAAAATAAAAACATAATCACTTTTCTAAAATCATATAAGACCATATTATATCATCGATTGAGATAAAAAAAATAAGATGAAATATTAAAATCAAGATGTATCTCGCTGCATTACGCGAGTACCCTTCTAGTTATTAAAAATATTATTTTCTTTCTCCTGAACATTAAATTTCAAGAAATCTCGTTGGTCGAAAGAATAAAAAAACCATTCTCTTTTTTTTATGCAATCTTTATTGGAAAGTTCTTTAAATTTATCGAATTTCACCATTTCTCTCGTATTTTATCCGTTTTAGATACAGTTTTGGAGAATCTCTTGAGCAAAAATCTCCAATTTAGAGAATTTGTTGAAGATGCTCCAAAAAACCTTTAACAGATTGAATTTAATTCTTTTGATAGTTTGGGTATTTTTGAAAGTTATCAAATGCATGATTCGTCTTTTGATTTATACGATATCATTCCATTTTTAAATGCATCCATGGTAGGTATGGTAATGGGGCGGGGACCCCAATCCCCGTTATGGATCCCCCATCTCTGTCTCCATCCCCATTGGTGAATTTGATCACATCCCCATCTCCGTTCCCAACAAGGAACGGAGATTCCCGACAGAGAAACGATGATTTTTTTTTCCTGTTTGTGCAAGTTCTTTTTAAATCTAATGTGTGAGACGTTACACATGTTTAAATCTCACATTTTTTTAATAAATCTAAAATAAAAGGGAATTTAATTTAATACAAAAAATATACGTTATCATATAATAACTAAAATAACTAATAAATCGAAAACCAAACGAAATTAAATTTAATCTAAAAAAATTAACGTCACATGTACCAAAAAATATTAAGTAATATCCACCACATCTAGTAATATCCAAAATATATTGAAATAAAAATTACCATTTTCCGATTTAATAGAAATAAATAATATAATTTATTAATATATATATATATATATATATATATACGGATACGGTGCGGGGAGTGCGATACCCGTCCACATCCTCATCCCCGGTTTGAGCCAAACGGGGATCCCCGTCCTCGGGACCCGGTTTAACGGGGAATCCACGTTCCCAACGGAGATGGGTGGATCGGGTTCCCGACGGGTTGGCGCCAATTCTCATGCCTAATCCATGGTGTTAAATGTTAATGACATTATTAAAGAATTTTCTTCCTACTTCATTTTTCTCGGTTATTAAACTTCATGACCTTGTAGTAAACCCTTGCAAATTATTTATGACTCGACGACTCTTTTTCCTGTTACTGTTTCTGCAGGTTGTTTTTGTTGTATACACTGTGACAATCATGTGTTATGTGTATTGATAAACACACACACAGAGATACAAGAACGTGGCTCACGGAACAACGTATCTCCAGATGCTCTTGTTGAGCTAAATGCCAATCGTATTGCTATGGTAATTTCTCAAAACTAATTCCCACAAAAATGATTTTTGTTTGTGGACTGATGAATATGTTAATATTTAAGATTTGGGTATTGTTGATGATTTCAGCTGACTCGAAAGAATTTGACATATATGAATGCTCTTATTAGGTAACACTGACATTGTGTCGTTGCACACTTGTTTTAGCACTGGAATAATCGACATGCACCCCGACATATGAGATGTTTGTGATGAAAATAAGCTTGCCCGCAAAGTGTTTTATCGGCAAATTCCGCTACAAGAATATGTTTTTGGTGAATTTCTGGCTGGTAAACCCCGACTCTTATCGGGTTTGAAGAACAAGAAAAAGGGTAAATGATTTTCATTTGGTTATATGGATTAATAGTAAACCGAAAAAGATAAATCTGCTAAATCACAAAAAGAATTAAAAGTTCGTCAATTTTTTTGAAATATTGTTAGGTTCAATTTTGCCTATGCTATCTATACTATATTATAGAACATTTGATAAAAATTCTTAAAAAACTATTTTTTATGCATGAAGTATTGTTTATTGATGTATATTACTTTAAAATTCAAGATTACAAATAAATTGTGCGTAAGTACAACTTATTAAAGCTTCATGTTTGAATTCGTATAACTAACTACAGATAAACATAGTCAAATACAAGATAAACATTTCATTTTAAATATAAAAAAACTAAAATATAATTAGAAAAATAATTGAGTTCTAACAGTTATCCTTATAAAAAATTATATTATTAAATCAAAAATAAATTACTTCGTTATTAAATCAAAAATAAATTATTTCGTTATTAAATCTAAATTAAATTATAATAAAATATTAAATTAAAAAATTACACAAAAAAAAGAACTTTTAAATGGTTAATTTGATACTAACATTGATATATTTCTTTGCGAAATTTTATGATATCTTCAGATTTATATTTTATTCAAAAATAAAAACATTATCATTTTCTTAAAACCACATAAAAACCGTATTATAACATCTACAAAAAAACAATAAAATAAAACATTAAAATCAAAATATATCTCGCTGTATTGCACGAGTACCGAGTACCCTTCTAGTTATTAGTAATAAAACAAGTGATCAATTGGAAAGTGAATACTATTTAGAGGACTATAAATGTCAATTTTCATTTTATAAGATAAATTCTACAAAATTAATCAATAGCAAGGGACCATTCTTATAAATTCTACAGCCTCCTTTTAGGGTAGAAACAAAAAAGTGGACGTTATATTCCCGCCATTAATCCAATGCCTCAACGAGTGGCACGATGTCCAACAGCGTATCGATCCCCAATATCTCTGACGAAGAGAAGGGCCAAGAAACCAACGACGACTACGTTCGGAGGACAAGATCCAAATTCCGAAGGATTCACAATAAATTAGGGCATCGTCATCGTACGAGAAACAACTGGATTTTCCATGGAGTAGTGAGAAAGCTGAGAAAATGGTGGACGATTCCTTTAGTCCTCCTATCCGCCGGATTGTTCGTGTACGAGGCTTCTACGATATGGAAAAAGTTTAAAGAACCGCCTGGATCAGAGCGGAATACGGTGCCCACTACTCGTATTGTTCATGGCGTTAGAGAACGTAAGCATTATTAAGATGTTTATGTGTATATCGTTTTAGGGTTTTAGTTTCTTTACATTATCTTTTTTTAGCGCGGCCCGTTGGTAATAAACAAGTGAAATTGTGCTGTTATGCATGGATGGATTTGAAATGAGGAAAATTATGCCTTTTTAATTTTCCCGTCGATTGAAGTAGAGATCATTCCTAGTAGGTGCAGGGTATCAAAGGGATGAACTATGCATGCTTACAGAGTCTTGGGTAGTTGGGTGAATATATCAATCTCTCTGGAATTGCATTCAATCAAAATATGAAGTTTTGACTTGTTTTGTAAATTATGAAATTGGAAAAATGGGACTATTGAAGTGGAAGTCAAAAGGGGTATCCTATTCATCAAATCAAGATAATTTTGCATCAAATGGTAGGTTATCCATCATTTTTTGTTCGTATCTAAACCCACAACTTTAGGCTTGGGTGTTGTGTATAATGCTGCTTTTGTCTGCTTAAAGGAGATCATATATAAGCATGCTATGTTGCCAATTCTTGTTAAACTTCTGGATAATTGCACCCTTTATCAGGTTGCTTGAAGCTATCACCTCCAGAATATATTAAAACACTTCCTTCTTCTTTTGAGAAGTCTGCTTCACCTGTTAAAGAGATTGTGTACATAACGGGGATCAATTCTTCATTTAGTGGTGAGAAAACAACCCTGCTACAGCAGCCGTTTGAAGTCTCAAGGTTCAACAGGTTCACTGGGTTCCAAACATTTTATGAAAGGAATGAAAGTTTTAAGGTTTTGCTTTGAAACTGATATCTTGAAGCTCTCATTTCACTTATCTAAGTTCAGTTCTACACCTCTACTATTGGATTTTAAAACCCCTAAATTTGCAAAAGGATCACCTATGTGTCCTTATACTACATCTTACAACACCCAGTGTTATATTACTGTTAAAGGTGATGTTTCAGGTGGACGAGATAGCTTCTGTACATTGTGGTTTCTACAGTGAGAATGGAGGGTTTAAGGTTTCTGATGAGGACAAGAGTTACATGGAAACATGTCAAATTGTGGTGTCTACTTGCACATTTGGTGGAGGATATGATCTATATCAACCGATAGGAATGTCCAAAGAAACAATAAGAAAGGTTCTCATCCTAAGTGCACAAGTGCATTCATTCTTGAACGCGTCTCAATCATATTATCTTTACATGTTTTACTTGTGAAGCAGGTATGCTATGCTGCATTTTGGGATGAGTTCACACTTAAAACAAAAGAGTTGGAAGGAAGTCATATTGATAATGACCACATGATCGGTAAATGGAGGATTATTGTTGTTAGGGAACTTCCTTTCGTTGACCAACGGATGAATAGTAAAATCCCAAAGGTAACTGAAGTTCCAATGTTCTATTTCCTTCTAACATCCATGTATCTGTACTATATTCATGTCAAACATGTTTTAAATCATAGTGTAGATATAACAATACCATAAAGGACCAAATATCGAATCTTATGTGAGGACACTGGTGGTTAATTATAGTACAAGTATCACATGGCTATTCTGTGTGTTACTTGGTTGTAATTATATACTATGTAAGTTGGGCTGTGTTTGAAGAAATAAGCATCCATCATCCATGTTCATGTGCAATGCATGATCTTGCGCATTACTTCTGAATACATTTAGAAATCATATATAAGAACCATAGCATTTCATAGTTTATTGGAAATTTCACTTCGACTCTATCAACCAATAACGTGGGACCATTAACATGCATGAACCAAATCAACCAATTATAAAGGGATCTTCTTAAAGATGATTAGTAGTGTATTATTCCTGTAGATGTTAGGACATAGATTGTTTCCTCGAGCAAGGTATTCCATTTGGGTGGACTCGAAATCTCAATTACATAGAGATCCTGTGGCGGTTCTGGAAGCACTTCTTTGGCGCACAAAATCAGTACTTGCCATTTCAGAACATGGAGCACGCAGTAGTGTCTATGATGAGGCATTAACTATAGTGCAGAAAAACAAAGAGAAAACAGAAGAAGTAGATATGCAGATCACTCAGTACCGTATGGATGGATTTCCTGAAGTCAAGAGGTTCAATGAACAAAAAGGCATGATTTACTACTGCCTCTTTTTCTAATAGGATATTATGGAAAAATATATTATGGACCATACCTGACATGATCTTATAGTAATCATCAAGCTCATATTTTGGGGCCAGGTTATCACTTGCTTCCTGGGAAGAGCTAGCAACTTATTATTTATGTTTACTTAAAAGCTTACATAGAAGTGATTTACTCTCAATTCTAAAAGAGGATCTTGGCATGATCTGTCTTAAAAGGTTTTTACCTATTGCAGCTTTGGCTGAAGCTTCCATAATAGTGAGGGATCACACTCAACTAACAAACATGTTCATGTGTGCTTGGTTTAATGAAGTGGTTCGTTTCACTGCACACGATCAACTCAGCTTCCCATACGTGATGTGGCGAATGGGAATGCTAAAAGACATCAACATGTATCCTGTCTGCACTCGTAGGGATCTGGTAAATACAACGGGTCACAAGAGGCAGGAAAAACCAAACACAGATGGTGATGTCTAACTATCAGGTATCTCTTTTCTCTCATATGTCCTCATTATGTGAAGTTTTAGATGACTGAACAATTAGGCATTTGGTAATGTATATCTTCTTCAAATCAATTTCCCATGCTCCTGTCCAACATTCATGGAGGCTCACAATTTAAATTTCATATCCGTCAACACATTAGGATTACTTCAAACTCTTTCGCTTAAAAGTTGCAGCTAATTTGCTTCTTGGTTTGTTCTGCATGGTAGAGAAGAAGATGAGGGTTGTTAGGAACATAGTTTATGCATTAACAAAACTATCACCTGAAATATGTTACTTTTATTGCAAGCTCAGTGTTCTGAAATTGAAAAAGCAGTTCATTTTGTTCTTGCTAACTAAAGTCACGTGCTTCCATGAAAAATATAACATACTTTTCAAGAGTGACATTTTCTGTTGGTGTGTCATCAATCATTTTGGTGTGATTGTGATTCACTCGAGATAGATCAGAGGGTGATAAGGCAAGCATAAGTGAGTTAGGAGGTGCACAGTGCACACTCACAAATGTTGCCCCTATCATCTTAGATTGCCATAAGTCTGGGTAGAGTAATCAGAGATTTGATCCTTCTGATCAGAGTTCTGAAGTTACCTTGAAAATTGGCTGTCTGAAGTCTGGACTGTGCAATCAGACTTAAGGCTCATGCGTCCAGACTTGGGAAAATTGATCAAGTCCTTAACTCTGGACCATAGAGTAAGAGATCTGGACTTTGCGTCCAGACTTGTGATTTGTGAAATTGACGTCCGTAACTCCGGACTGTAGAGTCAGACTTAGGGGACGTTTACTACCAAATCACATTACCTTACCCGGTAAGAGCGAGACAAGGACCAAAAGTCTTACCCGGTAAGTGAGTGCGACAACTCTTACTACGGTAAGCGCTTACCGGGTAAATTGTTGCATACAATGTCGTTTTGGTGGACTAAAATCTTACCTGGTAAGTAAATAATAGTGTGAAATTTTACCGGTAAGCACTTGCCTGGTAAGTGTTTGATAAACGGCCCCTTAGTTTCTCTGCAATCAGATTTAGACCCAATAGAGTCCGAGTTCGGGTACATGGAGTCAGACTTCGGTCCTGGAACTCTGATTCGGTTGTAACTGCTCTTCAATCTTATCCATTAACTGTTATAACTAGGGCTGTAAACGAACCGAACGAACACGAACGGAGGTTTGTTCATGTTCGTTCGTTTAACTTAACCGAACAAACGAACGAACACGAACGGTAAACGAACGAAAATATTTGTGTTCGTATTCGTTCGTTCAGAAATCAGGTGTGTTCGTGTTCGTTTATATTCGTTCGTTAACATGTTAAACGAACGTAAACGAATGAACATAAACGAACGGGCTAAACAAACATAAATAGATATTATTTGAATTCAAAGTAAATAAATAAAAGACTATATATTAAATTTGATATATAAACAAACAAATATAAACGAACAGTAAATGAACGAATGTTCACGAACATAAATGAACGAACAAGACTCTTGTTCATGTTCATTCGTTAAACTAAACGAACAAAAAAAATTGTTCACGTTCGTTCATTTATTAAATAAACGAACATAAACGAACTTCCCGCAGAACGGTTCGCTGAACGTTCAGTTCGTTTACAACCCTAGTTAATAGTTATAACCGCCCATAACTGTCGATCTCTCATATAAGTATGTAATCCTAGAATCTGGGGTGTATATAATCTTGACTTTCACAGCCTTTGAAAATAGAGAAATTCTTGAGAATTATCCCAATACTAAATTTGTGAACCCAAGGTTGTTAGGGTCGAATTATTGTATTTGGAAAGTGTTCTACACACGATCTTTTGAGATTATCCAGTCACTTATCATCTCCGTATCCCTATTCTTAACATTTTCAAAACTGCGAGTTACGTTAGTCCAATTTTCTCTAGGTTCCCTGTTAACGGCTCATAGATTATCTACAACTTTGCCGAGGCTACCAGAACTTAACATTTAGATAAATCTAGTTGATAATTCTTCCCTGCCCCTATGTTCTTATTCATTTCTACCCATGTTCATGCTTTACATTAGTCTAGCTCCGCTATACATTGTTAGAAACCGATGTAAATGGCCAACTTTTACAATTGTCTTGTGCTCAAACTATATTTACAATTAATAATTACAAATTACCTGAGAAGTACTACAATTGACACCATCATTCGTACCATTGTCAGGGATGTCAAGAAGTTCAGCTGTTTTTCTTATGAATCCATCCACATTAATTAGTTGAGTTTAGTCATCAATCCAAAGGTTATATGTCAAAATTGTTTGAAAGCCATAATACTTTCTCATTTCAGGACAATTCACTAAACAAGATGGGTTTTGAAGAAGGTCAACTCTACTCCAATAACGATACTTGCTTTTGTATGTGCAACAAGTATGGTCTAAAGGAAGCTTGCTGCAAATACAGACGAAATAATGCAAACTCAAGTGAGGGTCTTGCATCTCCATTTCTAACCTTCCAGATTGATTTTAGATATGTATCATCTTGTAGTGTCTGATTCTATTGTGGCCTGAAAATCTGATATAGCATCTCAGTATCCGGCTCTTGCTAGTTGAGGTTTGGTTGCTCAACCCCTTACCAGAACCAACGGTATTTTTCAATTCAGAAGCTTTAGCTGTACATAGGAGGTATTGATAGCCTTTCTGTTTCATTACAGTTGTAATAAAATCCATATTTAACACAGATCAACTAAAATGTTGAACCAGTAGCTAATAGTTTCAAATACCCTTTGATCAATCATGCTCATATGTTTGATATCACCTTTGAATTGTAATTATGTTTTATAGCTAAACTTGGTTTAATTATAAATGTTGTCCATTTTTATCTTCTTACTATTAAGTGTTGGACTTATGTCCCACATAGGAGAAACAGAAATCTGTATCACTTTTATATGCTTTTACCAAATGGGCTTGGTCACTTGGTCTGGACATTGGGCCTCATGGGCTTAGGGCTTCCTTGAAATTCCATATTTTTTATTTAATTAATTTTACTTTATTTTGGTAATTTTAATTAACTAATTTCGGATAAGATTTGACTTCTTTTGGCAGTTAAATATAGTTAAAGGGGAAATGTACAAGTACCTAAAAATATAATGATTTCAGTGATCTTTCCTTGTTTTTACTTTTGTCCATCCATCGTGGAAATATACGCTATTCATCAGATTCAAGTTTCTTGTAAAACTTGAATTGATAGTTGCATCCTGAACTGAAGACAACACGATCGGGGACATATATATGTTTTAGGACACTGAAATCTACATCAAAGGCTTCTACAATCAATCAAGTTAGTGATTTTCTCTCCTGTTTGATCAATTTATCATGTTGTGTTGTTATATATGTACTTACTTTAAAATGATTTGCTGTTTTTGTGTGCGTGTCTATATATATACATATATATAGGGTCAGGTTTAGTGGAAAATTGAAAAAAATGAAAGACTGAGGAACACCCTAGTAGGCTGGTAACCATTTGTATGGTATGCACATATGGATACAAGTAATTGGTAATTAATTTTCCGGTATGCACATGTGCATAAAAACTAAGAAAATTACTTGTATGCACATGTGCATATCCTACAGATAAACGGTTATTAGGGTGTTTCTCAGTTTTTCAATTTTTTGGGTTTCCTTCTGAACCTCACTCTCTCTATATATAATATATATATATATATATATATATATATATACACGCACACACGAATCATGTGGTCTTATCTTCCGTTCTAACATTAAGAACTATAATATCCTATCAACATTCATATTAAAAATTGTTGAAACCACATCATAAATCCTAACAATGTTATGTAAATACTTCATTCAAAGTCTTCCATTCCTGCAATTACTATCATGTTGTACGCGATTATTGATCCGATCCCGAGTTATCGGGTATCACAACTTGTTGGGACCAATGAAACCCCAATTCCCACATGCTAATTACACCCTCTAATCCTCTATTTCCACAAATGAATTTGCTTCAAGTATTGTTGAACTCAAGATTTTGTCACATGTATGCTTGCATGAAATATGGGACCTGTACAAACTCCCAAGAAGGTCTGATACTACTACTGTGTGAGTGTGTATGTGTTTTTTTTTTGAATTAATAATTATGAAATTAAATAAGAAATTATATAAAATAAACCATCTTATTTTCTGTGTCATTTCAGCTTAGAAAGTGGTAAAATGCAGGTGAAGAAGAAGAAGAAGAAGAAAAAAAAAAAGAGGAGAATCAGCATGGATGGGGAAAAAGGGTTGTGTTCCCAAGATTTACAAAGATTCCAAGATTTCATTAATGGATTGGAGTTCTGTTTTTTCCATTGGTTCTTCCAATGTCTTCAAGATTCGGTTTTAGCTTTGTCTTTTTATTCATAAATAATTAATACAAGTACAAGGTTGGTTGACTTGGTTCAACGTTTCGGGTTTTTACGGAAACAGTTATTTGGGTTTTTTTTTTTTTTTTTTTTTAGTATAGGTCAAGTCTGTATATATCTGATCTCCAAGAATTTACATTTAAGTGAGATTTATTGGATCTGTTTGATATGTTTTGGTTTATGCGATTGGTTTAATGATAAATAATTTATAGTCTCGTGAAAGAAGATATTTTTGGGTCTGTCTAGTTCGATGTTATCAATTTTAGTCCCGAGTCACACCAATCTTCTACGGCAGAGGTTTATTCCGTTCAAGTATGTAGTCATGAACAAGAGGTATGGGTTCTATTTTATTAGGCGGTCAAACGTCGGATATGTCGTACCATTTTTTTTTAGGAGAAGGTTGTATTGTGTTCGGGTATGTGTAGCCGTGAACAAGATCAGTGGTGGATCCAGGATTCTTGTCGAGCAGGTGCACCTTTAAGGTGGATCAAAGACCTGCAAAGTCACTCGATGTGGTTTTAGCCAGATTTCACTAATTCGAGTGATTTTGATTAAGTTTTTTGGTTGATTTCGTGGGCTGTTTTCAGTTTTTTTTTTGGTTAGTTC